AGAACTTTTCTTTATGCACCCTCTCCACACCACTCATGCTTTTATAGACCTCTATCCTGTCCCCCCTCCGTCTCCTCTTTTCTAAGCTGAAAAGTCCCAGTCTCTTTAGCCTCTCTTCATATGGGACCTGTTCCCAACCCCTGATCATTTTAGTTGCCCTCCCCTCTCCCAGCCTCTCTCTTCCCCTCTCCCACCTCCATTTCCCTTTCTCCCCCAGTTTTGTTCAATAAAGACAGATTCCATTTTGGAAGACACGTTATCTTTATTTTGTACATCAAGAAGAGGGGCTAGGGAAGGGTAAGTGGAAGGAGGTGAGGGAGGAATGGGGTACGAGCCCCCGATGGGGAGGACTGGGCTGGCTCTGCGGGCTTCTGGGGGTGGAAGCTCTCCTGCAACACCCCAATTGCCCCCTCTCCCCAGATGGCAGCCTGCGGCAAGTGCAGCCGGTCTGATGGCCGAGTGCTGTGATGTGCCCAGTGTGGGTACTCCGGGCAATCCAAGCCAGGACTGCTTTGCAAGCGGGGCACCCCTGAGAATTGTCTGTCCAGGGTGGGGGTCGGGTCCCTTTAAGCACAGCCCTCAGATAGCCTGAGGCAGCAGCTCCACGCTCTAAGTCCTCATCTGATGCCCTGCCGGCACTGCTTCCGGCCATTCTTAACCCCGGTTCAGGGTCCACTCTGTGTGGACATGCTAGTTCGAATTAGCAAAATGCTAATTCAAACTAGTTTTTTAGTCTGGATCCGTTAGTTCGAATTAGCTTAGTTCGAATTAACTAATTCGAACTAAGTTAGTTCGAATTAGCGCTGTAGTGTAGACATACCCCATGAGACAATTAGTGGAGGCCAAGTAAGTATATTTTTTTCAAAACCACAGTATTTATAGAATGATAGAACTGGAAGGAACCTTGAGAGTTCATCCTGTACAGTCCTTGAACTCCCAGCAGGACTAAATTCTATTGAAGTTCCTTTGTTTTAAACATTTTGCAATCTTACCTCTGGCTGTGCAATAAAAATCAGTAGAGGGAAATGTGCTATTGAATTGAGGAGCCACTTCAAGTGGCAACATTTTTCCTCTCTTGCATTGCACCAAAGAATTGTAATAGTGATTAAACTACACACACCTAATTTGTTAATATCAGAGACCAGTTTCTGTACATTATAAAAATGTGTCTATTTCTTACCTGTAGTTGGTGACTTTTCCACTTCAGTCTTATACTTTTGAAGACTACGAATGGCCTGGCCAGTTGTTTTTCCACTTTGTAACAAATCTAAAAAGATCTATTGTCATTTTTATGAACTTTTAATGAGAATTTTGAAAAACAAGAAGATACAAACTATGTTTTTTTTTTTTAAACCTGGTCTAAGTTTTTAAAAACTGACCAATGATACAGATTGCTAGGAGTTAGTTACAGTTCTGTGACTTTGCTAGTAATATTCAGGTAGTTTTCCTTTCTGTGCCTTAGCTGAACCTACAGATTGTTCTGTGGCTCTCATGATTCAAGCCCCTACTCTTAACTATAAAACTCTGATTCTTAATTTACAACCAGCAGTTTTTCTTTCCCTCACATTCACTTTACATACTTAAAAAGCAAAAAGACAAGGTTAACATTCTCCTTGAAGGCATCACAGAACATTTTCTCAAAATAATAAACTGCTCCAGGCCACTTTTCTCTCTGTTAATGGGGGACAGGTAGGGTTCTGAGCAGGGTTTTTAGAAGGAGGGATCGGAAAGTCCATATAGTCAACCAATCCCTGCTACTCGTTAGCATACAGGTCTTCATAGACACTCTCTCAGCCCTCGCTCTACAGAAGGGATAGCATAAGAATTGTGCTATTCTAAGTAAAAATTTCAAGAAGAAATATATTAATGGAAGATATGCTACAAGTACATACTTTCAGACAAGATTTCCAGCCTTTTTGCATTCTTTTGTAGGGTCGTATACCACTGGTTGGCCATAATGGATCGAACACCAGTAAGGCTTAGAAGGACTGCTGTTTCTGTTGGTCTCTCAATAGACATATGTAGATGACTAAAGAAAGTTAATAGTATAAGACAATAGAATCAATAAATATAATGTATAAAAATAACAACAACATTTCCTGAATCATTATATCTGTTATGCATCTAAACAGCACAAAAATTACTTTCATTCAATGTTCACCATACAAAACATATCAATAAATGGTGGATTGCATTTTTCTCATAAATCTTTAATTCTCAGTGTGTTGTCCTAATTTGCATTAAGTATAGGATGCTATATAAACAACTATGCTAAATTCTACTTCATCTTTGCAGGGAGTGAACACCCACCTAGCAAACTGTGCACGGGCATGTGAGTTGCAGCTCATGAAAGTTTATGCGCTAATACTCTCATAGATTTATTAGTCTTAAAAGTGCCACCAGACATCTTGTTGTTTTTGATGAAACAGATTAACATGGATACCTGTTGACTGCTTGCATTTTCCCTTCCCCTTTGCTGCCTCAACTAATTAACTAGTCACTTAGGGTATGTCTACACTACAGCACTAATTCGAACTAATTTAATTAGAATTAGTTAATTCAAAATAAGCTAATTCGAATTAGTGCATTTAGACCTAAAAACTAATTCAAATTAGCGTTTTGCTAATAAGAAGTAGCATGTCCACATTGAGTGGACCCTGAACTGAAGTTAAGGCTAGCCGGAACCAGTGCCGGCAGGGCATCAGGTTAGGACTTAAGACTGTGGAGCTGCTGTCTCAGGCTAGCGGAGGACTGTGCTTAAACGGACCCAACCCCCACCCCGGACAGACAGTTCTCAGGGTTCCCCGCTTGCTTGTCTACCTCGATGAGAGACAGCAAAGCAGTCCTGTCTTGGCGTGCCCTGAGGGCCCACACTCGGCACATCACAGCACTCGGCCATCAGTCCGGCTGCACTTGCCGCAGACTGCCATCCGGGGAGGGGTCAATCAGGGGGCTGTTAGGATCCTGGAGACCCTGCACGAGAGCTTCCACCTCAAGGAGCCCACAGAGCCACCCCAGTCCTCCCCACTGGGGGCTCGTACCCCATTCCTCCCTCACCTCCTGCTACTTATCCCTCTCTAGCCCCCCTTCCTGATATAAAAAATAAAGGACATGTGTGGTCAAAAATAGAAACTCTTTATTTAGCAAAACTCCGGGGTGGGGATTAACCTCTGGGGAGACTGAGAAAAGCAGGTGGGAGAGGAGAAGAGAGAGGGGAGGGCAACTAAAATGATCAGGGGGTTTGGAAGAGGTCCCATATGAAGAGAGGCTAAAGAGACTGGGACTTTTCAGCTTTGA